TCCATATATTATGTATGCATACATCGTATATACGGAGAAGGAAAAATAATACTTAAACCCGGCAAGCAACGAACAAGAAGAGAACAACTTCTTACACGTCAAAAAAGCGAACGCAGCTGCTTCATCGCTTGCTCCACCACTAGCCATGGCCCATGGGACAGTTTGCTTCCAAGGTTAGGTGCCCAGGGGCGGTCTGGGGTCTCTGGCTCTGTCCTCCTGGATCTCACGTCACTATCACACAAGTTCACTTCCTCTCCGCCAACGCTGTGTTCATATCAGAAATGCCTATTTAACTACACTCAGCCAGCGCACAGTGCACACGGCACGCGGCACACGGCACAGTGCACAGAGAGTACGCAGTCACCTCAGACTGCTGTGTGCAGAAGTTATCTATCTAAAATCTACTATGTCAGAATGCTACCCACATGTCAATGACTCAGAGAGAAATAATCCCATAGTTGCTCAATGATTCAAGCCTGTCGTCCCCTTTCACAACACACTCCTTGAATTCTCCAATCTCCAACACGTCCAAACAAAATGAAAAGCGGAAAAAGAAGCGAGTGACCTCATGTGATCCAATCATCCACATTCGTTTAACCAAGGGGAGAAAGATCCGAAGTCGAAATTTGTGGAGAATTTACAAAAAGTCAATGATTTCAACCCTATAAACTCTAAACTCAAAACGTACAAAAAAGTTAACGCCCTTCCTTTCTTTTTGTTTCTTCAGCCGTTTCAAAATAAAACATATAAGCTCCATCACGTTCGAACTTCTTCTTCACCTTGCCCATCACCTAGCCCGGGTTCGGCCCAAGCGTTCCCAAACAACCATGTTAGCGGCAGTTAGGGACAAAGATAGCTCGCCCACTTCAACAAACCACTCTTTTGGCTCTTGGGAAGAACCCTGGCCCGGTTTCACACGGCACAAGCTGCCGTAAAATAATAGCAGTGCTGATCATGTTGACGATCTTTCATGTTGTAAGTGATATCTCGTCCCGAATAATGGGGTTTTCTTTTTTTTCTTCTTTTTTTTCCCCCCCTTTCTTTAACTGTTCCTCTCAAGAATCATCAGAGCTTAGGACACCGATGACACCTGAGGCTGGGTCCCTGGCTTTGGGGAATTTGTTTGCTGACACTGATCGACCATCCCTCAGTCACTATTTAGTTTAAAGGTTTGTTTGTTGGTCAAATTGTTGGAAGATGCTACTTTGGTATGCCCGTTCAATGCTGATCTTCAACCCATCGTTTAGCATACCCTCAGGGCTCTGTCAATCTTTTCTGGGACGAAGCCCAGTCAGTACAGTATGAACACTGATTTTTAAATCTTTTCCGTAGCTACTTTGTTCTGTCCATTTTCGTTTTTGGTCTATTTATCTTTTCTGGTTAGGTTTGGTGTAGTTCATAGGAAAGCAGTTGAGGGAGGTTGTACTACTCCCGTAACTCCTTCGAAGCTGGGTGGTCCTGTAGAGCGACTTGGCATGGCTGGCCTTGAAGCTGGCCGCATAGCTTGCATATGAGTGTATGGATTATTGGATGGAGCAGCAGGAGTAGAGAGTTCCTGTGTTACCTCTACCTTTATTCTCATCTTACTTCACTTCGAGTTTTCTCGATTTTTCTCACGCATGAACCACACCCACTTCCGCTGCCAAAACTTCGTGGGAGAGGAAAGATATGCTTCATTGGGAGACATAAACTACAACGCCGTCTTTTTAAGCTGGAGACTTTCAGCAACTCGGAATTCAGAATTCAGAACCCGGAATAGCTGTACACCTCCGTGTTTTTGATCATCAACTATCCGCCACGATCGTCGCTGAAAGTGCCTTAAGAAGATCCCATACAATAACCCCTCAGCGCCCCAATAAACCGAACTTTTTAAGTCTTCCATGATTTTATTACTTTTTTCCACAAATGATCTGATTTCACAGCCACAACGGATTTTCCCGTTTTATTGAACCTTCACACAAGGTACCGAAAAATGAAGAATTGCACCCTTCCATTTTTCTCATTCCCTTCCCTTCCCTTCTTTGACGTGAAGAACTAGAAAACTAGAACAGGAGCCGCGAGGTTCCACCCGCAATCCAACGGTAGTCAAAAAATCCTTGCAGTCAAAATCCCAGAATCCCAGAATCCCAGACTCACAGCACGGAGAAATGTGTTTTCAAGCCCCAGCTACAGGGCAACCCTCCCTAATTCCCCCGCCGTGCCCCCCCTCCCCCACCTCTCTCCCTCCTCACAAGAACCCGCCACCCGTCTTCCTCCTGGCCAAGGAGAGTCGGGGAAGTCCCATCGTGAAAGCTCCTGCAGGTACTACTGCGAACTCCTGCGTCCTTCACGGCTCGGCCTAAGAGGTGCATCTGGAGTATGTGCGTGCGTATGTGGACGCGTGGGTCTAGGACGATGGGTGAGATGGTTACTTGGTGACGTGCCTCCTTCGTCCTTGGGACCTGTTCCCAAAAATAGGTAGACACACATGGTTACCAAGATAGAGACGGGGAATGGATGTCACGTCACTGCTGTCATGATTGTGCTTCTTTTGACAGGAGATGAGCGTGGGAACGAGCGAAGCATGCTTGTCAACCTTATCTTATTTTATCGCTATCGCTTATCGCTATCGCATATTCGCTCTCTATGCTACCCCGCGTAGTTACAGCTGTCAATGCAACTCCAAGTCGAGGATGTCTGACAGGAAGTGGCCCGCCCATGGTTTCTTGGCCTGTCCTGGGATGGTGTCCATATTCTACTGTATTCGGAGAGATAATTAGGTTTTAGTCAGCCGTCAGAGCGAAGCTGTAATTTATGGTTCCGAAAACGGGGGAGTGGGAACAAACTGGAGGAGGGGACGTCCTTTGACGGATGATGTTTTAACGTGGAGATTTCTCGGATATATAGTGGGACAAGTTTCTGTGGATGCAGACAGTTACTTAACTTATTTAAGGACTCCCAATAATTGTCCGTTGAAATCCCGTCAAATATCCGTTGAAAGAGTTTGTATGTACAATTGGTAGCACACAGAGCTGCAAATTTGCGAAATAGATAATTTTTTTAATTTTTTTTTTTGGCCTTCCCATAGTTATCTGGAAGTTCCTCATGCTTTTTCGTCTCTAATAAAGAAAGAAATCCACAAGAGGAACCGTTCCAGAATTCAAGCATTGCAGAGCAGAGGTGGCGGGCCGAGGCAAAAGCAAGGCACGGTTTGAAAACCCGTTTTGCTCTCGGATATTCACAAGATGTTGCGTAACGATACCGTGTTTGTATCTGTGTATGTGTTGTGTGTGTGTTGTGTGTGTGTGTGGCAAGCCAGCAATGCCCTTGAAGTGTGCAATGCACATATCTTGAATCGAGGACGAGCACGATCACGAGGGCAAATATCTTGAATCTTTGACTCGTTGATTCTGGAAAAACGAAGTTCTACGCAGGCCCAGGCTTGAGGGGGTAGGTAGTTAGTGTAGGAGTCAAGTGTTTTATAACCCAGAATTAACTATTCATAAGGACTTGTTGATGAAGGGTTGGCTAGTGAGAACTTGGTTAGTGAGAACTAAAGTCTCCTCTGCGGTCCTGACCCTGATTCACCCAACTGTAGATTGTTAGAAGGAAGAGTTAATCAGGCTCAGCCTTGCCCTCAATATCTTGTTCCCAAAGTTCATAATTGGCTTATTTTCTATATCATCTTCATTTCATTCTCCTCTTAACACGTAGGTATGTATGTACAAGTTGTCCATGGGTATTTTAGTAGTTAGTTAGGTGTTTGTTCTCCCGATAAAACTCTCCAGCTGGCGACACTCTCTCAGTGTGTTTTAAACGGTTCAAACAGCTCTCTTGCTCTTGAATTATGTATGCAAAGAATAGTGTCTGCTTCTGCTGGTCATAGGAACCCTTGGATCCAGGGAACCAAGCTGGGAATATCAACACGTTACATAGCTCACGTTTACCTGCATCGTTCGCCATGCCTAGGCACGTATCCATGTCCATAGTTCGTCTGTGCTTGGATAGGTTCGTTACAGGAGTCCGGTTGCAAGGTAGGTTAAAAGGATTGCGGGACAAACGATCAAGAGGAGACTCATATGAAACATGAAACACGGGGATCAGGAAAATCTAGGTTAACTAATTTAATCCACTCAACCGCTCACCTTTTCCCCGCTGGGTTTGAACAAATTTTCAAATGCACCCACAACCATACTGAATTTTTATATAGAAATTATAGCATTTCTCCTTAAGAGACTTGTGGACATCATTTAATAATAGTATGTCCTACAGTGTTGTGGTGCTCATTTTTATAACCTGGGATTTAAATCGTTTATCTCTTTCTTCATCAGTTGAGCAGGCTTCCGAGCTCTAGCAGCTCTAGCTAAGTAATTAGCTAATTAATTCTTTCTAATTGGTCAAGAATCCTTTCTCCGCTGTATAAGATGTGCTTCTCTTTTTCACATTTGCTTTGCATTTGCAGCTCTCAGCTCTTGGTTTTTCTTTGCTAAAATAACTTAATTGTATACAATTAATTGACATTCATTTATTAATTGTTTAAAAACTTGATTAATAGAATTAGAAAGTTTTTTAAAAAAAAATTATAGAAAATACTATATATTAAATTAATCAGTTAAATTTAAAAAATATAGAAAAAAAAAATAACTAATAATTATAATAATTATTAATATTTCTTATATTATATTATTTATAAATTTATTATTATTTTATTAACTTAATTAAAATTTTTAAATCTATAAAAAAAATTATAATAATTAAATATTAATTTCTTTAAATAAAAAATATTTCTATAAAATATGACTATAAAAAATAAAATAAATATTTATATTAAGTTTTATAATATTTTACACTATGTGGTAGTATTGTTCTGTTCAGCGCAACACACTCTGTCTATGACACACTGCCCAACCACCATGCACATGTGATCTCCTGCTCACCCTCAATCACTCACTTCCCCTTCTCCTCCATCTCATTCAGGCCCACCAGAAATGAGCCCCCTTGAATGTTGGCCTCCCTTTCAGTCACTCTACTAACCGCTGCTCATTCACCAATCCATCATGACTTGATATAATGAGTTTCAGCTGCTTCTGATGCAGCTGTTTAAGGTGTTCAGCAATGGCTTCCGCTGTCAAGATTTTCGCCACGCCTGGTGGACCGCTGTCATATATTTAGCTTGCTTCATATAATCCAACATGCACACATATACTGAAGTAGGACGATGACACCCTGGCCCTTTCCTGCAATAACATCATCAAAGCCCGCTCCACTTGTCTTGCTGACACGGCTCTCAGGGAGAGATTTGATGACCTTTTGCTTCTCCTCAGGCATGGTTAACGTGTTGAACGGGGAGTTCGAGAATCTGATCTTATGAATATTCTCCACAACAAATTCTCCTAGGCAATCTCGTGGGAATCAAAACTCACCCCAAATCTTTTCATCAAGCGAAAGGGCAAGCACGGTCGGACTCCAAATAACTAAGTCGTCCTCCACTTACTCCCCAGGATCCATTCCGTTGCCTCGGACACGACTGGTAGTTTCACTTTTCACAGCCCAGCCGCGTGACTGCTAGCTTTTAGTCTCCAGTGTTGCATAATTCGGGTTAACCTTCTGAAAAAGTCTGGTGTCAATCATGATCCTGCTATTCACATGGAGTTTCATGGTTTTGTTCTTGATACTGGAGACGATAGCAACCCATCAGCGAGACAAATTTCCGGCTGCTAGATATCAGGTGCGGTTTGATTGCTGGATTGATGTGGTATTTGAGAGGGTGGGCACTTCCGTTTGACGGTCCGATTGGCAGACAGCTCAAGAAAAAGAAAATTAGATGCTAAATTTGTTGTCCCTGAACCCTAGTACAGCCGGAACAATCATTCAGGAATCATTCAGGAAGAGTTGTGCATTGCTTCATGCCAGCTGCAACAAATTAGAACTATAGGTTGAGAAACATGTAATGAGTGCTTTGCAGCATTTGTACCGTGGGATATCATGGTCAACACATCTTAAAAAATAGGTTTGCAGTTTTGTTCCATGCTGTTCCATGCTGTCTCGTCCTGGTCTGTTATGTTCCATTCCATTCCGTCCCGTTCCCCCAAGGCCTGAGTGGTTCTTATAATTTCATGCTGACGCTGATACATCTTAATTACCAGAGAAAGGCTAGCTGGAGCACTGAAGTAAAATATAATCAATCCCAGGGCAGTCAAAGTTGTTGGGCAAGGCTTTGGATTTTTCCAGAATAATGTGAGTTGCAACCCAAAACAGACTAAAAGCCCTCTCAGCCGCCAGTGTACATGAAGAGTGTTGCCCCTCCTCCCGTGAGTGATGTGAAAGGAAGATTGAGCGTCAAAATTTTCTTTTTTCTTTTCCTTTTCCTTTTCTTTCCTTTCCTTTTCTTTTCTTTTTTTCTTTTTCTTTTCTTTCCTTTCCTTTTCTTTTTCTTTTTACTTTTCTTTTTCTTTTTCTTTTTTTTTTTTGTAGGATAGGATACAGTGGCTCGCAGATGGTTTGAACATTTCTCCCAAAACTTCTATAAAAGTCCACAACTTTGCGACCCAAAAAAATAATGAGAATCCATACCTTTAAGCAATTGGTTCTCCCTGCACATCCATGATATCCAAAATGGCTGCGATGCAGTTCTACTCGAACACATCTCTAGATACAGAAGATGATGACGAGATCCTGGAGAAAGCTAAGGAGGTCTGCTATCCTGTCTGACTGCTTTCAAAGGTTTTTGAGACTGATATAAGTGCAGCTAGACAACGAACTCCGAGAATTCCAGGCGGAAATTCGCCCGTCAACGGACACCCTATATGGTGAAAATGGCACAAGGCCACCGACTGATCGTCTCGTCGTTTTTCGTCCGTAAACATCAAATAAAGTTCCCGGGTGCATTAGGGTTGTACAAAGCTGGGCGCTACCACAAAAATGGGATGTATACGAGACGAATGGAGCATTTATAGGCTAAGTCCCGAAAAACTGCGCTTTCGAAGCGATGCTTGTGGCGGTGAACCTTATCACGCAGAAGGATAACCAGAGTTAAATATCCACGGGTAAATGGTGCTTATCGCCTTCCAACACTGCTTCGGTTCGTGGAATTGATAGAAACAAGCGATGCGGCATGGTCCTGCGTCGGAATTTTGTGAGGAAGGCTGGGTGCCGCTGAGGATTTATTGAATTTTTATGGAGCTTATAGAAGATATCCCAAGAGGTTTGGAAGCACCAAGAAAGGCCATCTCAAGAGTCTTGTTTTGTTTCCATATGTGGTTCAATTCTACAGAGCATACTTGTCGAGTTTCGAAGACAAGTTGCATGTTGATGCTCGGTATTTGATTGTTCGTTAGTTAATAAGATTAGGGGTCTAAAGTTTGGTCTGGTAGAGAATTGACATTTTGATCTTAAGAAGTTGGTTTCGTGCTCAAATGTTTTCTTGTGTTGGGGGGGACGTCGAAGGGGTTGCTGCCTCGGCAATAGTTTGACCTGGCGAAATGTTTCCTGTATCAGGAGGCTGCGGGCTGGCTCCCCGTTGTAGTAATACTTGGAGGCCTGGTCCACCAACAGCTCTGGGAACTGCACTCTTTGTGACCATTCCTCCAGCTCTCCCGATGGAATCTCGGAAATATAATTTTTGGTTGGCAGACAGACCCGAAATGGAATATACAAACATGCAAAGCAAGAGTGTCTCGCGTCCAGCAGTTTCGTTGACTGTTAAAGCAAAAAAGCATAGCTTCGTCCGGACCGCTATTAAGAAGAGTTTTCCACGCCTCGGCAGCTTGTGCATGTTGGCTGGCCCGGTTTGAATAAAGCCCAGAGTAGATTGTTCGGGATTGTACATTCAGCGAAATTGGAGATGTTCCTGTGGTCTCTCTATAAATTGTCTTGATACAGTTGATCAACAAGCCCTTTAGGTGACTGAATAATACCTCCGCTAATGTTAGCGGGATGAAAGGAGTGATTAATTAATTATATTGTAACTACAAACATATTGAGGTCTCTTCTAAGCAGCAGAATTTGCACCATGGATGAGGGAAAGAGTTTGTGCTCGCACAAATAGTCAAATGTTTCTATAAATCACTGAATGCTATTATTCCTCACGCCGCGGTCCTGAAGGTCATTACACCATCTCCACAAGTGCACTCTTATTCATTCAATGCAGAGAAATTGGCCCAGGTGCAGTAGTAGAGATAAGTCTCATTAATGTCACCTCGCTTTATGATCAGCTTCCTTTAAGAAGAAGGTTATGGTCCTAGTTAGTGTTTGGCTATGACCTAAGTTGGGGTAAATAGGAGAACCACTCAGGAGTGAATCTACAAGTTAAGACACCATTAGCTCTTCATCCTCAATAAATCCCGTTGTCTCTCCGTGAAACTCACTGCGTGATAGGTCTGAGCTCTGTCGAAGTCCAACCAGACCAGTCTCTCGGGATCATTCCTGACAATCATCATGTTCCTCGGTTAGGCGTCGCAATGCAGAACCAACGCTCTGTGAATCTCTCAGATGCCACGGATCTAAAGCCCTTCCCCGCTCCTTTGTAAAATTGTGCGGATGGATCAATCTCCATTTTGTGAATGTACTCCAAGATGATGGCGCTAGGAGGATTCTTGCCGTTAAGAAACATCTTTCAGATGAGGTTGATAATGTGATAAATCCATCTGTTACACTGTCCCATAGAGCCGAGGCACGATTCCGCGGTCGCAAAGGCCGTGTTTCATTAGTCGTCTGTAGGAGCTCTTGGTTGTTCATTTGATACAAATTGCTTCAAGGATGTATCTGATCACCTCACCACGTGACCCGGACCTCTCACCGATTTTGTGTTGGCGGCGTATTCTCGCGTACCGCGTATAGAGTCTAAGCAAGCTAGCTTCCACCATCCCACGTTATACGATATGAAGAGAAACTATTAACTATGGTAATATTTTTACCACCCGACTTCTCTTTATACGCTCCTTCTCAGGCATCTCCTTATTTTTGTCTTAGTCGGCTTCAACACACATGAATGTGTTCTAAGTGTCCTAGAAGAATCCCTTGGATGCGTGCAGTTACTAAAAAGCTCCGGGCCTGAATCTGGCTTTTTCATCTTTACAGGATATAGCTCAGGTTACTCTTTATCACATTCTTATAGCAGCCACTGGGAGCAATTCCCACCACCCCAGGCCCAGCCGCAACCCTACAAATCAGGCATACAGTTATGTTGACATCCAAGGGCTCCAGATCTGGCAGAGCTTTAATCTCGACACAATTCTCCAGCAGTATCAAATTGTCTTGCCCTAATCCTCAATGCTTCCAATCAAATACAAAATTGGTTGCCAAATTATTTTGATGATGAAGAAGGATTTTACTCACGTATCTAGGTTCTAGAAAAGTCATTGTGGTAGAGAAGTTTGATTTTGATTTAAAACAAAATCTTCTGTTTCTTGACTTTGCTAATGCCCTTTTCAGTTGCAGAAGAGATGGTTCAGTTGCTATTGAATCAAACTTGTTCCTTGATCAGTACATTTCACCTCTTCTATGATGAGATGAGACTATGTCAATGCAATTCAATGACTGGATTGATTGAAATTGACAGCTCTGAATTGAAGCTGAGTATACTTATACTGCTGCAACATTCACATCAGGAATGTGAGACACTCACTGCTGATGACTCGTCACTGTTGTTTGCTCACTTTGCACTTTCTCTGTTCCGCTTTCAAATCATATTCTAATACTTTCAGTACGTCTCATCATTCAGCATATGGTATCTTTTATCGACTTTATCACTTTGTTTTGTCTTTTTATTAAATATATGTGGCAGTTGAATAACAGATTTAATACTATATTGTGTACAGTATGACATATTAATGTCAAATTCACTTCTTTATTTATGTTTCTCATTATTTAATTTAGAAGTACTAGTGACAAAAAAAATTATCTTTGAAATTTTATATTATAATCAAAATCAAATATTTATTTTTCACAAGTTTAAAATATCTGTTCAAGGATATTAAATTTATGCTTATTAACCTTATCTTTAAACTTTAAAAGTATATTATTTTATTAATATTCTTATACAAACATATATTATGAACTTTAAATGTATAAATCTTTAATTATATATATAATATCAGAAAGAATGAAAAATTATTATTTATTTTTTACAAAGTTTGTATGACATTATGCAGAAGTATATTTTTTTTAAATTTTTTTTATATTTAAATATAATTTTATACAATAAATTAAGCTTCAATAAAAAAAAAAATTCTCATTATTATAGAAGTATATAAAAGAGAACATAGACTTTATGTTTTATTTTATCAACTACTTTTTTTTCCTAACATTAAAATATCTTTTAAATGTATAGTATTAAATTCATTGTAATACTTTTATATCACTATATAAATAAATAATTCTTTATGAGTCTTATATTGATTATATAAATAATCTATATAAAATCCTTTTATTTTTAAAGTTTTGATAATAATAAAATTATTCTGATATATATTTAATCTTTATTAATTTGACAGTTGACTTGTTAAAATTTGCATTTTAGATATATTACTTTCTAACATCTGCAGACAGCTTTGTTTAAAGACACAATTTATTGCAATTCAGTTTATATTTGACTTTTATCTTTTCTCAGTATAGATGTATTCTATAGAATAAAGAAATGATCGAATAGTTAACTTCTTTGATCTTTCGAGTCATTCTCTGATTCCTCTCTGTCAACTGCTGTATCTTGAGATTTATTGTGATGTGATTTTCTGTTCATCTATGAGTTCTGTCAAGGTCGTGATATTAGCAACGGGATCAAAAGACCTAGATAGCTACACCGGAAGGGACTTTATAGATCGATGCGAAAATGACTTGTATCAATACTGAGCGACGACATCCATGGATCTTTTATTCTTCTCTGGCATAATCACTTATTCTCCCATTTTCATTCTTGCAATTCTGGGGATCTGCGCTCACCGGAATACTTTCTCTTTAGTGGGTATTTATTTCTGCCGGCTCACCATTCCACCATCAAGCCGCCGGCTAAGGGGCCGCTGCATTCGTGGGGTCGGGTTGGATATCAAACTTGTCGCTGACATCGATTTCCCGAGCAATTGCATGTGCGGCACTCCGTCATTAGAGTCCTGGACTCCTAAGGTGAAGGAAGATACAGATATGATCTACACACGGTATCAATTTTACACGGCACTATTTCTACTCCGGACTCGGAGTAGATGATAACCATGGAAAGGTAAGATTTCCCCCTTAAGCTGTAGGAAAAGTTTTCAGTCTGTTCAGAGCTCAAATATTTTTCTTCTCTAACAAGATCTATTTCTCAAAATTAAGAAGAATGGATGTCAAAGGCTTGTCGTGCACATTATCATTCATCACCCTTGGATTCGAATGGGTTTCTAAAAAGCACATAAAAATTGAATCAGCATCAATAACTTATTGATGAAACATGATTCATGGATGTGATGTGATTTTCCTGCAGGATGAAATATTTATCACTCGTTGCTTGCAGACAAAAAAAAAAAAAAAAAAAAGCCCTTGTCTGCAATTTTTGATAACCGTTGAATATGACATTGGGTGATGAAGTGGTAATAGACAGATGACGATCTGCAAGGTCAGCGAGCTAAAACAATTGCGCCTTGGACTGGTCGGAAACAATGAGATGAGTTGAGATGAAAGATGAAGACAGTAACTGTGCCGGACAGCTACTCTGCATCGAAAAAACAACATTTAGAGGTTTCTCCTCTGTTTTAAACAACGGGTTCAATATCAAAGCTGCTCTCCTCTTCATCGCACGACGACTTTGTGATGATGGAACTCAGATATATCATTTGGTTTTCCTGAATCAAAATCGGTTTCTCACTCGATGCCATTTGAATTTTTTTTTTTTTTTTTTTTCTTTTTCCCGTATTGTAAAGTAGTTTTTGACATTTATTTTTCAAATACCAAAACAAAGTGAGGTATTTTTTACTTTCCAATGAACGATTCATACAGAAAAAGCAAAAAGATTCGCTGGCTCAAACTCAAAACGGTCTTTGTTCAAGCCCATTCCAAGATCGTCTAATGCCTTTTTCCCAGATTCAGCCAATAGACAGTTACATTTGTGGATATCCCTGCTTGGTTTCTGCCGTGTCTTCACGTTCGTGCTTATCTTATGCACGCGATTTTCAGGCACAAGGGGACATCCGCGAGAACAAGGATTCGAGGAACAAGGAATGGCGGCCAGGCCCAGACCAGCACCAAGATCAGGATCAACGTGCAAAAACACGGATAGCTATGCATTACTACTGGTCCAGAGAAAATAGCAGTCGATAATAGGACAGTTTTCATTATCATCCGAGAACTCCTTACCCCTCCACAAATCGCTCTTTACTGTTGAAACGTCAAATCCCGACATTCAGCGCTGGGGCGTTTGGTTCAGGTCGGTGTGAAATCCAACTCACTACCTACTATTCGCGGAACAGGAGCCTAGTCACTATGTGGTTTAACTGTTCAGTTCGGCCTCCAGTTGCGCAGTTATGATTCGTTTAACCCTGACTCGAAGATTTTGGGTTTAGTGGCGGCGAAGTTAGTTGAATCGAGATCGTTCTGCATCAACGCGAAGATAAGATCTTTGGACAAAACTATTACCCTCCGTTCCGTGCTTTACTTTTGCGGGTTCTTAAGATCCCCGTTCACGATTTTGGCTGCTGCGTCAAGGGTTATTTGATGTTCCTTTGGATTTTGTTCGACGTTTTCATGTCGAGGGGTTCGATCCATCGTTTAATCTTTAACATTGGAATTTCTCCCTGAAGCCGACAAGAGGGAAGGTTGCCAGAGCTTCTGTTTGCAAGGTCGAAATCTCTATATGTGCAAACGATGGCCACATAGCACAAGATGTTTCGCGTCTCCTACACTGGAATGCCCTGTATAGAGTATTCCCGGACTCTTCGAAGCTATGCTCTTCCCTATACATGAATTGGCTCGGGCTTTAACAGTGCGTGGAAGCCCGAATGAACGAATTGCCACCAGCTTTTTCGTTTTGGCTTGAGGATGAAGTGATTCGTCTGCTATCGGTTTGTTGGGGAGCAAAGAGCAGAAAATGGTCGCTTTACAATTTCTTAAATAGGCAGATGGAAGGGAGCAAACGGAGAAACACAACACTATTGATCCCAAAGGTTTTGGATAGTTATTTGAATTGGAGAGCTTAGTTATCTCGTTAGCAAGCCACAGCTCCTGGAGCCGCTCTTTTGCGGTCGCTCAACTTCCAACGTATTACCGACATGAAAAAGAGGATCAATGGTGCTGCGATTGACTTCAGATTGCTAGAGATCCACACTGTTCAGACGATCCCAAACCTCATCTTTGCCAATGACCTGCTATTCAGAATTGATAGTGCCACCAACATTGAAGGGTTAATAATGTCCCCTTTTCGACCGTTATTCAAATTGTTTCTCTCCAAACATTTGAGACATGGCCCCACTGTTTCAAAACCTCCAGCACGGAAACACTCAGGTAGCAGACTATGGAGTTCAAAGAAACTGTTTGACCCATCTTGAAAAGGATCAAGGTATGAGAAGAAGGATCAAGTTGATGCTTCTCATAAGTATGGAACAAGATGCAACCCATGGAACGAATTCCTATCCCCGTGTGGAGAGTTGAGTTGACGGATAGAGAAGCTTGTCGCAGGAGGAGCTTAACATTTTAGGCCCGAGAAAAGAGTTTTTAATCATCACAATGTTCAGCTTTCAAGCTCGTTTTAGTTTGCATCTTTATATATAGATGATTACCGGGAACTCTTTTAGAATTACTATAAAATGCACCTTATGAAATTTGCTGGAACCGTGATCTTGGAGTCTTGAGGTTAGATCTTAGAAAGGTGAAGGCAACCCTTTTCAATGCAGCCTGATTGCAACCGTCGAATGTTACCCCTTTTTTTCTTCAGCGCTACCCTCTGGTCTCCATCCGCAGATTTTGGACCCTATAAGTAAGTCAAAGATCTGGTCATGAATCTGGCCCGTTTGCAAGATCGTTGCTGAAAGAGGTCAATTGCAGAATCACATCACCCGATACTCAAGAATGAGCGTCTAGAAATTTGCAAGCCTTACTAGAATAATTGCACTGGTTCTTAATACTTTAATATCTACAAATAACTCGAGAAAGACGGAAGGAAATGTGAGCCTAGCGTGGTTATCCCGGACACGCTCAGTGAGAGCTCATCAACTTCTTTGTCGTCCATGGGGTAAGCCAGTCGATTTTGCTTTCAGTGTTGGCTTTACAAAAATATAAGGAACAAGGGAATAACTCGGAATCCCCCTGCGTCAGGGGGAAGTTGGTCGTGGTTTGATATATGCGGAAAATGGTTCCACATTCCTGAATATGGCGAGCGGCTCTTATCCTCCGTGCATATTAACGACTCGATTCGAAGATAGGGCGATAACTACTTGGTGTTACTGACCTAGCTGCGGATATATCCGTTGCACCGTCAAGGTGACCTTTTAGAGTCAGTAATAATAACTTCTGCTTAAAACAGTCGCAGCTCGAGGACCTCCACCGCGCGCAAAGGATAACTAATCGAAATGGCCCTTATCAAAAAGAATGGTGTTAAGCAGTTCTCAACAACTTTCTTTCATCAATATGCTTACCTGTAGATGTCGATGCTGAATGCTCACGACAAAAACTCTCCCCTCGTCTTTACCGTTTCCTCCACATCGATGAAAGAAGGAATAATCTCCGTCCGCATCACCCCGCCCGCCATTCTCTAAGGTGTACGTGATGAGAAATCAGTCATTATGCACAGCACGTCAAAGGCATGAACATACGTATATATTACCAAGGCCCATGTCAGTTCCAGCTGTAACCTGGCCGCTCTTTAACAGAGATTGTCATGCAAGTATTGAGCGCTGTCTGAAATGATGTATAAAGTATACGCCCCCTCTCCTCATACATCCCATTTTTCAAAATTCTTCGCTTCACATTTTTAATCTGGATTTACCTGCATCTTTGACTCCTGATGTCGTACGCACCGACGCCCCCTTTCCTATTTTTCATGCTCGTTTCTCAAAACAGCCAGTTTCGAGGACAAACAGTAACCGGATATACAAGGATTGCTGGGGCTAGTCAGCGCTGGTAGTTTTGTCTTTTGGTGAAATGAATGCATTCCTGAAGATAATTAGCTCGGAGTAAAATGTACGATGCCAGGCATTCTATATGTCTGGATGCACAAGGCTATATTCCGAACGTCACTCATTTGTAATTTTCCCATACATTGCTTCTGAACGAGAAAGCCTTTTTTAAAAGCCAATAGTGACATGATTAACCATAGTTAAGGGTGAAAAGGCTTTCACCTCCCAGAGATCAATTCGCGAGAATATGCAAGGAGCCGGGGACTTTTAAGCCACGATAGTATCCGAGGAAGTCCCCACATTTGGGGCAAGGGACATCATACTGTTGTTACTGTTAGACAGTTTCTTGAAAGATCGGCGGGAATAATACTTACGCACATTCAACTGCTCGACTATTGGCACCGAAGTCGCAATACAATATATGCCAATATAAAATAGGGTCACGGACAAAACCACATACCTTATTCATCTACCAAGAGATCTTCCTAACGGTGCGGGTCATTCTCCAACGATGACGATCCAATACATCCGAACTCTGTTAAACGAACCTCGATGTTTCCCCCGAGTTTTTCGGGAAAGAGAATTAAAAAAAAAAAAAAGGCATGGGCCCTCATACAGCATCGCTATGAGATTGCAGACACAGGGACCAGCACCAGCATTTACTAGCGCATGACCTTTTTACTTTTATTTTATTTTATTTTATATTTTTTGTACTGCATCATTAATGATAGCTCAAACCCGTGGCCTTTGTTCCCAGGCAGGTATTTCCTCGTTGAAGGAGAATATAAATATAGCTGTTAGTCCCCTTATTTACCATCCATCAAAGTGTATGTATTCGACTGCACCAGATGCGCACCCTTTTCGGAGGATTAAATCTACCTTGCAGAAATACAGGTACGTGTTATCTCTACCATTGTCAGACAGTTAAACCCTCTTTGAATTAGGGGGAATAGCAACTCATATTATGAAGCAACAGATATCACTTTTGCGCTCTCCAAAAGTCAGGAAAGTTGCTAGATCCTTAGAGCGACCGAGGAAGACAATATGAAAACGGCGATTGAAATGAAGCTGCAAAAAGCAGATGAAACCAAATGCGGCCGTAAATAGCACTCTTGGGGTTATATACCTCACTTCCAGGGTTTTTGTCATTTCTTCTAGCAGTACGGCTCCGTACTCTGAGCCTTTTTCAAGCATAGTTATGTTAGTTAACTACAAAGAAATGAGAAGAATTTCATGCTTCAAGAATATGCTGGAATTTACATTAATGCTACGCACATAATAGAGATGAAAAAAGAGTATTTGTGAGGAATTTCTGTGCTATGTAACCTACCCCGTAGTTTGACCTTGATATTGGAATTGCAGAAGCGCTTCAACATGCCGAAGCAACAAACTTTGCTAACGTCGGAGACTGCATCAAAATCATCTTCCAGCGGATGGATGACCACATAAGTATGTCTGAATAGCAGCATCGAGAAACCGGCGAAATAGCGTGTTTAATTCCTAGATTTGCCTTACGGCGTTTTTGCTTCAATAATCTTCCAAATGAACGGTGTCACCGTAATGAGTGCAGTTTTCGCATATCGATGGCCAAGCCTAAGATTTTATATCCCGGGTTAGTCTCAGCTGCTCCCTCCACATCAGATTTGATTGCCTCCTGAGGTTTTAATGTAAAATTGGAAAATTGAGCATTGGCATGTAGAGCCTCGAAAACCATGCTCGCCATTTCAAACGAAATATCTTTTCCCGCAACAGCAGCAGCCGCAGCAGCAGCAGCAGCAGAAATGAACACACGATGGACAAGCCAGCAAGGTGTGCTCTAGAGAGTTTGCAACTTTGCCATTCGCTTAACATGTATTGAAGTTGCATTCATTGGAAGAAAGAAGAGAGAAAGAGATTTCAGCTGGGGAGGTGCGAGGCGTTAATCGATCTCGCTACAACAACTCATCGTTGCCAGAGGACGGGGCTTAGAATTCTTTTAGCGCCGCTTAGCAGGCTTCTTCCCAAGCCTGAATGCAACTTCACCATATTTCTCCAGTGCAGTTATGGAAAAGCAAGGCAGTACCCCTGCGTGCGAAACAGCCCGCTTTCCCTTCTGCTGCCTGGGATGTGGACGAAACTGATCTTCGCAGCGGAGCTGGTGACGTCCAACCACATATGCAGTCGCTTTCATCGTCTTTGCCGTGGAACAAAAGCGTATGGCCGGGTTTTATGAGATGAACGACTAAAATGGATAGCTTGACCAAGAAAGGAAAAGAATCAGACTGCGGCTAGCAGTAGGTACGGAATGCTACAAATAAGAGCTACTGGACAAAGGACGATTCTGGAGTTCTGCCGAGATAATCAGGCTCTTGAGCGGTTCGTATAGACATGCTCTGCTAGCTTGCGAGGCACTTGTTAAAGGGGGAGATCTTTCCCCTAGTGCAGCTGCGTTTTATATACCCAGGCGGCGCATGTTTATTTATGTGAGCCTCTCCCATGACAGGTGTTGTTTTGCCTCTCTTCGACCTCTACAGTTGCTAACTACATCCTTCACAGAGTCACTCTTACTTTCCCCAAGGCCACAATGTATCTCAATTCCATCCTGCTCTGTGCCCTGGCAATGGCAATATCCGGCTCTTCCGCTGCGCCAAATGCCACAAATGTTGCCGATGTTCCAACTACTGCTGGACGTAGACCAATTGTCTATGTTCCCAGATGCCCAAAGAAAGGCACGGCTAAATTCAGCAATTCCGTTCCTAAGGGAACAAAGTTTCCAAAAACCCAAGTCGACCTCTGCTACACCACGGGAAGGTCCTCCGAACTCCGTCTAACCTTCACGGCATTTGATGAAGAGCATTTCCATTTCAATCCCGAACAGGACACAAACGATAATATCTGGGAGTACTCGGTGATGGAGGCATTCGTCGGTTACGGCACGGAGGCACCACAGACATACCTCGAGTTTGAAGTCAACCCAAACAACATCACCTACCAGTCATTCATATACAATCCCTCCCGTGTCCGCGAGGAGGGTACCCCGTTTGATCACGCGTTTATTTCCGATCCTATAGGCGATGGAATTACAGCGAAAACAACCCTCAACCGCAACAAGAAGAACTGGGTATCGGATGTCAAAATACCGCTGGCACTGTTTAATGCACCAGGAAAACTCTGCGGCACGCGTTGGAGGATGAATTTCTTACGCACCATCACGTCCCCTGCCAATTTTCCGAACCAGCAGTTGGGTGGTTGGAATCCACCAGATAAGGCGAGCTTTCACATCACCCCATTCTTTGGAGATGTAGCTTTTGTTTAAGGCCTATGTGTTTCCACGGACAGAGGGGGCGGGGTGGCTCATGATATGCTGGATCTGGTGCTACGCGGTACGTTACGATGTCCACAAAGGAGTCGTAGTCGATGTTTTGTGTCTTCCAATTTGTACTTAGCGCCTTTTCCATTTGCTCTTGAATGTCGGAGAATTTTAGTTCAAAAAGCTAGTGGGATATGAAATTCTTTTTCAATCTTTAATTTCACATACGTTCCAGAAAATTGTGTCAT